AGCCCAAAAGTGCAAGGATGTTGTGGATGACCGTCACGAAACTATCATTTCCATTGTATAGATGTTGTATACTATCTTAGGAATAAAGTAATTCACAAGTCATGTACTGCTGATCAACAGTTAGGCGTGTGAGAGTGAAGCTCATATGCGTTACTGGAGTTTTATCCTCGTTTGGCCGCGTTCATAGCTTGCGACCATGAAGAAATGCAGAAATGAAGAAATGCGGAATCTGCGGAAATGACGAAAAGCATTGTATACATATCGATTTGAAGAAATGCAGAAATGCGGAAACTGCAGAAGTGCGGAAAGTGCAGAAATGACGAAAAGCATTACATACGTATCGATTTGAAGAAATGCAGAAATGCCGAAACTGCAGAAGTGCGGAATCTGCAGAAATGCGAAATGAAGAAATGCAGAAATGCGGAAACTGCAGAAGTGCGGAATCTGCAGAAATGACGAAAAGCAACCGATACGTATCGATTTTCCGCACTTTCTGCATTTCTGCAGATTCCGCACTTCTTCACTTTCGGCATTTCTGCATTTCTTCAAATCGATACGTATCTGTTGCTTTTCGTCATTTCTGCAGACAGAAATACCGTGGAGAACAGGTTATGGGGCACCTGTCAACCAGACGTGTTCTCGCTGCGAGGATCCAGGGATATTTCTCAAGGCATCTACCAGTAGTTGAAGGGAGAAGGTAAAGGAGGAGGGATCAGAGAAGGAAGGAAGGAAAAGAAGGAAGGAGGAAGAAAAAAGGAAAGAGAAGAGAGGCTTCTCGGTTGACAAGTGCCCTGAGACGTGGAGAACATGCCCTAGTTTTGGGGAAGGTTTAGCGCTTTGCAAAATGCCTCCCCACCTCAAAGACTCCGGCGAGGGTAGTTTGTATGTAGAGCGTGTGAAACGAAAAAGTCAACAATCAAAAAATATCACTATATCACTCACAGGTTCTACCCCCCCCCCCCTTCTTTGCGTTGGGGGTCACTAACATTCAGCGTGACTCGCCTGTAGAAGATGAAGCTTGAGGCTGTTTTCACTCCTACGAGTTTTTTGGCAGTGAATTAAATTTACATTATGCAAAAGCAGATCTCTGTGTAATTCTGGAGCAAAGTTTACTTCACAGTAATCGGATAATACATGATTCATCACAGATCGCGGGACAGAACCGAGGCCACTCGCACGATGGCGGCGCACACCGCCACCGAGCCACACGGAGTCGAACCAGATGCGGCAAAGGTGCTCTATGAAAGAGACTTTCTGAACGTTTTTACTATATTCACCACGTAGATGAGAGGCTTGAACATCTCGGTGGTATAACGACAAGCACTAACACCCTGAAAACTGGTGATCCAAAAACGAGCCTGCCCGTTTTGGCGCCACCTTACCATTTTTATCGCAAATTATTATGATGGACAGCAGCATCCAAACACATCCGTTTGATACATTAGGAGAAGTAATCGTTCCAAGCAATTGCCAACATTTCCCATACTAAAAAGTTTGTATATAACCAGTGAACTAAAGCCAGTAAGTTGTAACGGATACGCCAAGCGACGAAATTAAAATGCAAACTTCTTGTGTGCAGAAGATCCCTATTCCAATCCCTCTGTAAAAAAAACATTATCCGAACCATTCAACACGGAACTACGTGAATCACCCGAGAGGATTTACGAGTACTGTATGGAGACGTTGTTGACGGTGTGTGCAGTCGACATTAGAGATGCCTCGTAATCGACGCCAAAACTGTGCTGAGGGACGCGAAACGCGTTTCTTCCTTCAAAATCTAGTTGTTTCTTGCACCTGGTTCACCTCACCTCGAGAACAACTCTTATCTTCTTGCTCCGGGATTTAATAACATTATTAATGCTGTGAATTCGAAAATTTAATGTTTTACTTTCTTGAGAATTCGCTTTCAGCTAGGAGGCAGTAGGGAGCGTTACTGGCCACTTTGTTTCTAGTTTTGTACGCAGTTCAGCGTTCGGAGTACTAGTAAGATTGGGTCATGGGTGTAATAGCTCGGGGAACCATTTTGCCTGAAAAATTGGCTCACCCACAACAACTCTTTGCCGGAGCTGTTCGCTTAAGCGGGGGAGAGCATTTCAGTTCCTTTTATTCGCTCACCTTGGCAAAACTTCTTTACTCTTTCAAAACTGGAATGAACTGATGGTCCTTATGGTATGGCTGTATTAGCTTCACAGGTGTTTACAGGCCCTCAGAAGGTGGTGTGTAAGCTTCGCTGATTATCGTTCCATGTGTTCAGATGAGTTTATAGGTCTCCTCGTCACTAGCAAAATACCTCCAAAAGCGAGCAGCGCCCTCTTTCCCATCAGACTTAGAAATCTCCATGGCTCAGCGCTACTTGTCGTGGTTCTAAAGGTTTTGGGTCCTTCAAACCACGTCTTTGATTAGTGCTCTGGGTTATGCTACTACTGTTGATGATATGGTGGCATTTTTCATTGATGAGAAAGTAACCACAAGGAAATATTACAGGTATACATCGAATAATGACTGAAGAAGCACAAAGTACACGTTTTGATTCTGACGATGAGGAGGGACGATGTACACCATCACCAGAACCAGAAACCAAAAAGAGGTACCTATTAAAACTATTTCCTTATTTATCACTTATGGTTGTAAGAGCTTCCGGAAGTCCAGTTTTGGCGAAGTATCTCATTTCTTCACTTCATTAATTTTAGAAAACTTTCTCCTGGTAAACTCTTACCAGCAGATGTCATGAAAGGTAATGAAGCAGACTATGGAGATTTTGTCCTTGACCGAACGGAATCATATAGTCTTGACGCCGATGATATAGCCATGTTGGAAAGCTCGTCGGGCAATGAAGACAGGTGCATTTCTTACGGGTTTTAACTTTATATGCACTTTTATGGCTGTGAAATTTGGGTGGGGGCGGTTCCCTCGCAGAATTTGCGGCGCTACTGTGCTTGGGCGTAGGGGAAGGGCATGGTGGCGACGCAACAAAGTACCCCACTGAGCGCCCCTGAAACAAAGTGGCCCGCCTGCTCAATTTCTGTGTGCCTTTCCAGGGCTGACGTATGAAAGGAACGGATCACCGCGGCGTCACCCCCCCCCCTCGCCCGAGCTATTATACAATGACGCCGTGCTTACCTGTTTACTCTTTAGTTATCTATGTTTACCACAACCAATATTACCTCACGTTTAGCTCAATTTGGAAGGAAAAGGTTCTCTCTAGCTTATTAAATGGCCAAGAAGACGACACTAGTAGCCAGTCCGCAAAGAAAGTTGTACCGAAAAAGGTAGTGTGTCTTATGTACACTGCATAATTATTTATTTACTTGTATGTTCCTATTAACTTTGGGGCGTGGAAGTGCTGACACATAGCACGCTTTTCTTTGGTGGGGGCTGGGCGGTTCGGCTCATGTTCAGACCAGCCAGGCCTTCTACTCTCCTGGATAAACTATTACACAGATTTGTCTGGGAGGATAAGAACACTGTCTTGTACATCGACTACCCCTCAAGTCATTGTATGGGCCCCGTCGCATTTAATAAGCCGTTGCGAGTGCGTGCCCAATCCCGAAAAGTGATTACCCAGTACTGAAACTTTGTTTTTATCTTGAACCTTTTAATTTTGGTCGTTTTGTCATCTTTCTTTATTATACAAAATTGTGCTTTTAGAAAATGCCCCTGAATATATGTTTTTCATTCATTTAGAAAAACTTTTTTTGTATTTGGTGTGGAATCTATCTAATATCTTTAAGAATAACGGATGTTTCAACTGCGACGGCGATCATCATCTTAATGAATGTCCTGAGCCTAAAGATATGAGGAAGATTCGGCAGCGCCAGACTGAAATGCGAAATAGAAATAACACGTATGTTTTCCAATCACTTTCTGAGAGAGATTAACTGAGAACCTCCAAAGGCACGCTTTCTCACTCTGGCTGGTGAAAATGAGGCGGTAAGGGAAAAGAGCTAATATTGTTATGAGGATATACAGAGGGGGGGGGCAAAAAAAGTCACTTCGACCGAGTCACATATCAGCAAAGTTTTCGCTGCCCAGACAGAGGACGTGGATACGAGTACCAGGGCGGAAGATACCCAAGATGTTCCTCGATAAGCAGGAGCTGGCTCTCGCCCATCACCTTCATGTACACCAAAATATGAAGTCATCTCCAGTCGCAGCCTGACTGGAGAAGACCTTTGGAATTCACCTCCAAACAGCTGCGAAACTTCTAGTATGGAGTCACCCATGGATAGCTACCTGGAGACCAGTACTCTCGATCTGGAAGACCTCCAATCGACAACGTCGCCACGGTCTAGGACATCATCTTCACCACAGTCGCCAAGGCGCGGGTTGATGGTATGGACCGGACGTACCTGGAATGGAAAGACCAATATTTTCTTCGTGGACCCCGGACTGAAGGTGAGCGCTGGCGGTTACATTGAGCAACTCGTGAAGAATATCCTCCTCACATGTCGTCGCCCGTACCTTCTTGGAAACTTTGTACTGCTACAGCATTGGGTGCCACCACATGGAATCGAAGGGCGTTGGAGAAACTCTCGCCTACTGGAATGGAAGGGGGCTGAGTACCTAAAGAAGATGGAATATCCAAGTAGGTCACCTGACCTGAATCCCCTCATTGCCCGGTTCGGGCGGAGTTCAATAGGGTGGTCTACGGTGGCGGAGAAATCGACTATCTCGCTGATCTCAGGCACCACATCGCGGTCGCCAGAATCTCTCGATGGCGCTCGTCCAGAAGGCTGTGGCGGAGTGTCATGATAGTATTCAATATGCTCTTCAATATGGGTAAAAAATGTCCCATCAGAATTCAATAAAGTGTATACTTTATGAGGGCCCTCGAAACCCATGAAAAAGTGACTTTTTTTGGGCTCACCCCCCCCCTGTACACCTACACAAAGAAACTCGTTCCAATGATCCCTTTCTTCGCCGAGTGCATGTACAGACGAGGAAAGAAAGAGCAATAGCGAGACAGTGGAAGACGAAAGCGCTCTCATCTAGAGCATCGTGAGCATTAGGGCACATACGCACCATTTTTGATCTCGGGATGTGCCTTCAAAATATTATTGAACACGGCTACATCACCGTAAGATTGCTTCATTCAGAACGCGATACCATGACGGAACGCCTAGTGAGAAGAAATTTCGGGCTGGCCGAATAAGCGATGATCTTCGTAATGCCCTAGGCATTGGCAGACATGACATTCCTGAATATATCTATCGTATGCGTAGAATGGGTTTCATCAGAGGATATCCGCCTGGGTACTTGAAAAAGTGAGTCATTCTCCTTCACTACATAAAATAAATTTCCATCGCATATCATGAGTGTGTTGTGAAAATGATGCTACTCGGATGAGCTTTATCTATGCTGGCTGAAGTTTTAGCAATATGTAAGCAACGCTTACTTGAGAACCAGCTCTACTTTTCTTGCAGAACATGAATCATCGGGTCTTCACATCAATTTTCGCAAAGAAATTTGTAACGCGTTCAGACTTCGTGATCGCGCGATCCAGTCGAGCGGTCCGACCGCGACGTCTGTCTTAGAGTGCTATGGTACCCGAGGGCGATTGTTTATTCGAAATATGACAAATCTACGAATGCAAAGCTCTCAACAGTCTTTAGCAATATTTGTGGTTACCTGTATCATTGATCGACCCGTTGACTATCGAATTCCTCTAGGGGGCGTCTGCAATACTCTGTACGTCCTCTGCCGTGGGTCAGAGCAGTTCATTTGATTCCCATTTGGTACAGAGCTTCCACGAGGAAGTCTGACAGTGGGCCAGTGATCGTAATGGTGTTCGCTTGACTCTTAGGAATCCATTTGCTTACTATATTACTACTGAGGAGTCGCAACCATCACCAATTGATGATACGGCAACAAAGTCAACTGCGCTTTACGTTCACTAATGCGAATGCAATGTGACGCCCAAGAATGTCAAGTGGGAGCGCTAAGATCGATTGTACGGTTCTGATTCCTCTTGAGATTGAAGCCTTTTATATTCTTGATCCAATGAGTGTTTGAACGTTCACGCTTCAAGAAACCGTTTGGCGTGACCTTTTGCTTCTTCTGTGTCTTTTTCATAACTCCTCTGATACTGTTTAAAGACAGCCCCCGCGCTCAAGTAGTACATGGTCGTCCTTCCTTGTGCAGGTAGTTCAGCCCCAAGCTAGATACTATCCCACTCTCGCGACTCCACAGTGAGCGAGGAGCGAGCTACAGCCGCTCAAAGTTCTAGTTCTAACGCCCGCTCAGTTGGACCGCCCACTTGCTAGATGCCCTCTGACGGAGGCCGCTCAGTTGTTCTTTGTTGGGGCGGCGGGCATTAATCGGAATCGCATGCCCTTTTCGCTGACCGCGCTCGTGCTCATGAATGATTCTGCTCTCCTTTATTACATTTTATTCATTAGGGGCATATACATTCAACTCAACCCATTTCGCAAGGTGAAACGCGTAAAAATCACGAGTGACGCAATTTTCGTGGTGCAAAAGCTCGACGCACTTCACTACACTAAAATGTGCGCTACCGTAACCCCAAAATTTCCGGACA